TTTTTTTTTTAACTATTTCGTTCAAATGGTAAAACAAGAGGGCTTCACCACAGGATGTACGTAAGTTGGCAATACGTGCTCGGTTATATTTCACACGGTGAGCTGTGTAAGTGTAGATGGCTGACTAGTACATATAGTCTGTTTGTTTCAAATCCTTCAGGAATATGGGGTCAAACTTCCTGTTTACACGAACAATAAACGGCTCATATGTGAGTGAACAGTGTAGATATCATACCGGTGAAATGTCTTTCATACCTTGGCGCAATTTTGAAGAAACGACCTGTCCGAATCTGTCATCTCCCGCAAACATGGGAAAAAGAAATGAAGAACTAACCAGATGACTAAGCCATGGTCATCTAACTTTACAGCCAGTATCCCTGAGCCTTTAGAAGTTATTCAGTCATACTTTGGTGGATGTGCCTCATATCGGGAACGATGAAGCTGCGATCTGTGGATTTGAAGTGCTTCATGAGAAGGCGACAGAGAAGGCTCGTTGGTAATACGCGCACAACTCAAATAAATTTCTGAGGGTAAACTGCAAGGGTTGTTTTGCGTTTCACTTGAAAATAATTCTAGTACCAACCAAAGACGTCCAACCAATATTGAAGGAAAGAGTTTTGTGGGTACTCCTTGCCTGGGCCAGGAGTGATTAATAGCTTAAAGCTCTGCGATAACATTTGATTACAAACATCAAATAGTGAGAACACACTGGTAACAAACGGAATAGGTGAGTGGACAGAATTTTAGCGAAAGTTATTGCAGGATGTCAAGTCAGCTTGTGAACTTTGTGTATCTGGGCTGAATGCAGAAGCCCCTGTCACGTATAAACTAGCAAGATGACTACACAAAGGTGGGTTTTTGTGTTCGTGACAACTGTCCATGGCAACTGTCGGGTAATAGTAATAAAATGGCCGGACCATGAGAAAATCTCTTTTTCCCAAAAAGGCGGTATCGTATAACACGATCAAAGTTATCATGACTTACTGTATTCTAGCCATCACTTCTGCTTGGACCAGACGTAGTTGCCTACTGCGCTCAAGCATTTTCTTGCGCTTTGCTTGTTTTCTCTCTTCACGCTGATAAGCCAGAAGTAACTCGCGATACTCGGCTTGCTTCTCATTTTGTTCTTGTTTTGTCTTATACTGTCTGGCTACCTCCTTCAGCGTCTTGTCAATCTGACGTGGAACGAGCCTGCGCAGTTGCTGTTCCGGTGGAAAGAAGCAGAAGTGAAGCAGTCAGTTAGAACGTTCATATCTTCATGTGAGTCCTAGTAACATTGAGACCACCAGTTTATAAGCACATCATAATCGTTCTTCATGATTTACTAAAAGAGATTAAAGGCAAAACAAATTAACTTTAAGCAAAGATTGCCAAGCTATAAAACGTTTCTCGTTTCAAGCAAAAGTATAGCGTGTAAATTACTGGGAAGACGTCAGTGACCGTATTCCACCCCGAGGATAGTAGCCTACCTATTTTCTCCAGGTTTTCATTGCTTCAGATGCTCCTTACGTGTGTTTTGCATAGGATTGTGTATTGGAAGCCCTTCTAGGAACATACTGCTATCCGTGTCAGCCGCACAAGGCGATGGGTTAGTCAGACCACAAGTAACAATATAAGCTCCATTTCTGAGATACATTTCTGAGGCACCTTGGCACCGGAAGAGAAATATACCGGGTTACCTGGTGCTCAAAGATCTGCTTTCAGATTTTAAAACTGGTCAGGAGAAGCGGTAAGTCATGGACAAGCCTTAATTTTTCTGGACAATATTGGAGGGATACGGGATTTTGTTTTAGTTCTTGGCAGGGACTAATGAGGATGAAGTAGGGACACAAAAGTAAAGCGTCAGTTAGCCAGACTGCATTGTTTCGGATTTCGATCACGGTCGTAAGCCAGCAAACCAAGAAGCAATATTAGAGACTGGTCTTGCCAAAGTAAAACTTTGTGACACATTGTGGTTCGAAAATTTAAACCATTCACCTTGTGCCTACTGACAGGCAGCAGGGTAGACATATAACACAACCATTATTTATTGAATCATAAGGACGATTCAAGGCTGTCGCTATCAACTGTTATCATATGCTCTAACATCAACCTCGGCTCCCTCTCCCTCTTTCAAGTAAAAAACCGAGTTTTACGTAGTGCCTACAGTGGCGTGGAATTTTTTTGAAAATGTTTGCACCATACTGTGTTTGGTCTGTATAAAATAAAAATTTTTTAAGAAAGGAGATAAGGTGGAAGACAAACAAAATATTTTTACTGCCTTTTGGTTGGCATGACATCGGCCCATCCAGGCTGAAACACTCCATTGCTTGGTGACACAAAAACGTGTCTATGTCAAATTTTGAATGCAGTTCCTAGACAGCCCTTATTAAAAGCTAATTTTCTATTTAAGTAAACAAAACAATGAAAGTAACCAAAGCTGTGGAGGGGACACGAATATAGATCCAACGGAAAAGAAATCTTAAAAGCTTAAAGTCCTATCGGATCCCAGAAGAACAACGGTTCAAGTTTAAAGACTTTGTTTTATTACAAGAGTATCACCGACAGGTACGAGGCTACCGTTCTTGACGATATGCTAAAATCGCTCCATGTGCAATAATTGTACTTACTCATAAGCCCCACACGGATGGCTAGTATGTAAAAGCAACTTGTGTTGTATCTGGTATGCTGAGGTCAGACCAGTAACTAAACTATTGTGAATACAAAAGCACAGTAGATAAAACGAGACAAACTGTCCATTTCAAATGAACCTGTTCCACTGTATAGGAAGAATCCAGTGCAAAAATCACACCAAAAATTTTTAAATCGGTTGCATCTGACAGATGGGCGAGTGTGTGCAAAATCTCTTGAGAACCGGTAATAGTTTTTACGGGGTCACATTAGACTCCATAAATTGTCTGAATTTAGCAAGAATTTTACTATCTCTATTTAGCAGTACACAGTATTTATGGTTTGTGTATTTTATAAGAAAACTAGCACGTGTAGAATGAAAAAAACCTGCCTTAAATGCCTGCTGTTTCCTGGAAGACAAACGTTTGGCCAAGCGTTTATCCCAACACTGTTATTCTAGCCATAGAAACCACATAGAGTTCTTGGGGAGTAGCCAGTTTAACCAGTATCTTTAGTGACTGAATATACACTGCCACCTCTTGTTGCGCTTCTCATGGACAAACAAGATGTGCACATCTCAAGCTGTCATTAAAAATCTTCCAAATCCTAATGTAAGCAAACCCATCAAAACCACCTACTGGAGTTCCTTCCACACAATACTATCTACAATGCTAGCTTTCAGTAAAAGCTTGCTACTCACAACCTTGAGAGATTCAAGGTGTTCTGCGTGCAGAACGACGCAACCAATCACACCTAGGCACTGGATTTTGAGAGACCCTTAAATTACTCGGAGCTTGAATGTGTATTCCCCCTGGGTGGCAGCACAGGGCCACTTGACTGACTATCATGCCTTAGATGAAAAAGACCACCTGGATGAAACAAAAAGCTTGAAGGCTCCAGAAACCTAAGGAGGTAAAAAAAATGAAAAACTGGAGTGTGGCAGAGACCTAGAGGCATGAAGATTTTAACGTTCTAGAACAGAACTGAGAACGTAACTAAAGTTTAAGGTACTTTTGGCACTGTTTGCCTTCCAGCATGAGGTGTATGAGACTCTCATTGTGTTTGACTAAGGTTATTAAACAATGAGACAGGTAACCGATGTTGTTACCTGTCCAGATATTTTTTAATGGTTAGCCTTATTCCAATCCCCATGTCCATCGTATTCTTTTTTGTATAATAAGGGTTTACTGAAGCAAAACGACGGTGTGTTGTGACAGTGAACCATCATTTTTCAATTTATTGTCTCAGAGTGCTGAAGATGGTGGTGATTTGGAAAAAATAGCATTATAATTGCTCTTTTAAGGTGAATTTTGCCAGTGCGGTTTGAGCAGCCCGCTCAGTAGTCAACACGACATTCATCAGCTGCAGTTATTGATCGGCCAAACTGATCGGCCGAACTGTCGACAATGTAATATCGCCCACCCAGTCGATAATCTTTTCTTGTCGTCCTGTTTGGTTACTGTAAGATCATTGATCGACTTTGAAGATAGGAAAGGTTTACGCTTTGTTTGCTTACCAGCTTAACCAGCTATTTACCAGTGAATGCGTGCTAATTTACTGGCATATGCAGCTCCCTTCAAGGCGGTTCGGAAAGGTTGGGACAACAGACTTATTCTGGTAACGACGCAGTTGGAAAGAGCTGACAAAAGTGAACAGAGTTCTTTATGTAGAGAGAACCTTTGTCGAAAAATTCCAGGTTTAAAATGCCCACATGCAGATATGGAACAAAATGTGTTACCTGTTTTCAGACCCAAAAGAAGAATGGAACATGTGTCCCAGGCAATTTCTTTTCCTCTACGGTATCGGTCACTCAGATATAGCCTGTAAAGCCTCCTGTCATAAACCAAATCAAAATCAAGCACGAAGGCTCCAACTGCATACTTTATCGTACCTGATACTGTTCAAAATCTTTCTTAGCATGTTACTGGAAAATTAGGTCTGCTCCAGTACATGCCACCTTTTGACCAGTCTAACACTACAAATCAAGGTTTGTTAGGTATCGGTTCAAAAGTCGGCCCTAATCAAAATACGTTAACATCACCAAGTTTCAAACATGCTGAGAGAAACTTGCTGAAAACGAGAGCTTCAACCAATTCAAAAGGTTATTTTTCAAAATTTATTGTTTATTGTCCCCATACTTCACTACATTTGGGAAGGAGTATGTCAATCTGTGAAAATGTATTTGTTTCCTGTTTTGTGATCCGCGCAAAAATCCAATTCTTTTACAATTTTGGTCCGAAAAGTTGCCATTATTTTCTTTCAAAAAATTGAAAAACTGATTAAAAACAAGCTTTTTTATCAAAAACTGAGTGCCACACCACTGTATCAGGTAGACAGTATGACCCTAAAGATAGAGACAACTGTCAAAATAATTTTGGGGTGGAGCAAAGAGGCAAGACCAAAACTTCACAAGTGGTTTAGTCAAGCAGATTTCTAACTCTTTGAAAGCACTCGAATCACAAACAATGAACCCACAGAAGTATGCACTTAGCGTCGGATTAACTAATAATCAGTCTACCCGTAAGTTTACTCAAAAATTGATGCCATACTATCCCAGTATTTTTGGAACCACACCTTCAGGGTTTCACAATGAAAACTGTTATCGGACAAAATAACAAGTGTGCCATCGCCAAACAAGCCCCCTAATGTGTACACCAGATTTGCATGTAAGAACACCAGCCATCTTAGCTCTTACTCTCTTGTTGTCAGTATTTCATCATTATTCTCAGAGTCAAAACCAAGTGCTTTCAAGGAAGATCAAGAGCATGCCGCACATCAAAGCTTTCAGAAATTTACGCACAACATTAAAACCCCCACTTACGGGTTGTTGTCAGTAACTGTCGCTTCTTTAGCTGTGAAGATAATTCAGACGCATACTTACTTTCCTTACAGTCAACACCAAATTACAAATTAAATATCCATTATGGTTGTTTTAGATCATTCATGTTTTTATTTCGCACAGGCTTAAACCATTATACAAAGTACATAATCTAAGATTGTCAGACTGGACTGAACTGCAGTGCCAACTGCCTTTGTTGTTGAAGGCAGAACGGGCCAAGAGATGTGAAACATCAAACCAAAATACACAGTGTATCTCTTAGCAAGCAAATTGGCTGGTTTGGTGCGACATAAACATGTGCGTATGATCCACCCTTACTTTTTCAAAACCAATAAGGCCGGACCTGATGGATGTCTTTGGTACCCCATAAATATTTCAGTATTCTTTGGCCAGACAAAAAATAAATCGTTAATTTATGTATTTATCTGTAGTGCCGATCTATTTCCCTCTAGCGACGACACACATTTAAGTCATTCAGAAAATTAAGTCTGCCCCTTCAGTCACTTTACTAAAGTGAAAACGTAAAGGTGTGGCAACGACAATGTGGAACATCCATAAATTAGAGACAGCTTGGTTTTTCAGTTACAAATCAGGCAATAATTTGATGCTTTCTTTTGCTACAGCTTGGTTCGCCGAGAATAGAGAGAATGTAGTAACGAGAATTACACGTTGTGGGCGTTGGTCCAGTCAATTCACTGACGCTGAAATACCGCTTTTGTCTATTATGGCAAAGTGTGCTCAGCGACAGCAATAACTCTGACGCANTGATGTCATGCTGTCGTTGATGATGATGATGATGATGATGATGATGATGATGATGATGATGATGATGATGATGATGATGATGAATAGAGAGAATGTAGTAACGAGAATTACACGTTGTGGGCGTTGGTCCAGTCAATTCACTGACGCTGAAATACCGCTTTTGTCTATTATGGCAAAGTGTGCTCAGCGACAGCAATAACTCTGACGCACGATTTCTGCTGGCTGTGTTACACAACAAGATCTGTCAGATCCGATAGCCATTTGATCACCTCATCCCTGGTCTCCAGTGGAGAAAGGCAGTTAAAGAACTAAGTTAGCTGACAAAAATTTTCCAAGGTTATGCGGCGGCAAAGCATCAGTGCGGAACGCTGAAGCCATACTGCCGATGATAATGAGCAAGCATGGAGCACCATACGAAAAGTTCTCCTTGAATGCTTTCACGGAATGGAAAATGAAGAGACAAATGTAAATAAAAAATTGGAGGATCGAGTGAAGGGAAAAGAACGAGAAAATGGAACGAGAGAGGGGGGAATTTAAACGCACCTAATCATTGAATTTCATTCTGTCGGAGACTAATGTTGTATCTGCTTGCCGGGCAAATGTCCCCAAGAACTTTGAAAATCTGTCACGAAGTACTGGACTCACCCTGATTCCGATCCTGGTTCTTATTCTACACTGAGCAACCTCACAATGAACCCAACATGAACCAAGTGAATACATTATAGCCATGGGATAAAACCAAGGGTGCAATAAAAAAACGATTATTTGTCTACCGGTTACCAGCCAGAAACACGACAGTATGTAACGAATATCACTATTACCACAACTCTTCGATCCTTCACTTTTGTGACCTATGAGGAGTTCATGACATGCTCCGTAGGATTTTAATAATAAATAGGACCTTAATTTGGTTTATATGCACTGCAACAGTGCTCTTAATCGTTTGTTCCAGTCGCTCTCCGTCTTTGCGTAAGGTGTAATGCTTTTTTAAATATAGACTCCGGTGCCTTACACGGTCTCTACATGCATGTGGTGGGAGTGTTGTTGACACAAATCAGTGATACCCAGAGCTCCATTCAGCGGCCATGTATAACTATACAGTCGAAAATGTTTACCGTGCAGTGCAGGTCCAATGTTTATGTGACGAACTAAAGAGAAATGGTTTCCGAGGTTGTGGTAATGGCATCAGTCCTTAGGTGGTGATTTGAGCAGAAATAATTGGGAACTTCCTGAGCGATCAGCGGAAGACCAGTTGACAAAAACGGCTAACGAGGCCAGAAAATCTCAAAACCGAACAAAAGTTATGGTCTTCTTTAAGAAGTGAGTCCAAAATTCCCGGGAAAATTTTGAAGCGAACCTGTTGGTAAATGCTGTTCGCATGGGGGCAAAGCGATTCCCACTTTTGGATTGAAGCAAGCCTTTCAGCTTGATTTGTGCAGTGCAAATATATGTAGAGTTCATGGAGGATACTGTAGACAACTCCGGTCACCTTGTTTATGATATCACATGCAATCCGAGCGTCAAAATTCAGCCCACAACTCCGGAGGGTTCGGCCGAGTCGCAGGAAATTACTGAGACATATGTCCAAAGAGCTTTGAAATAAATGCAAGTTGCATAATTTACCTCGAGTCTCTAAAAAGGTTGAAATCCTCTTGCAGTCCGTGTTTTTTCAGCAATTTCCCAAGCAGATAGCCATTGGCAAAGGCGTCCTCTATAATGACTGAGTCAGTTCGGTAAAATTGTTCTGCATTAATCTCGTCACCTTGATTACTCAAGCCAATCTCTTCTCTAAGCCAGTCAGAGATGATTGTTGTCATAGCGTGAATAAAAATGTTCGAAAATGCTCGTCTCTCTGGTTGTTATGGTAACGCATGGTCGACCTCGATGGGGCATACTAGACATTGACACAGGATAGGACGGAAGCAAAGAACATGCGTGGGAAATTTGATTATATTCCAGGTGCTAATACCAGAAGCATCAAGTGAACGTCTCAGTGCTCCGATGTCTGACTGCATTCTGAATTCTGCTTAACGCTGACGTTTTATTTCCAACATTGAGTGCCAGTGATGAGCAGATATTGGAAATCCTAAGTTCAATGTAGCGCTTAACTCATGGATGCATGGATTGATATACTGTATCGAGACTATCACCCAAACTTCCTGGGTATGGTCTGTTCTTGTCACTCAGTGGCTCTTGTTAACCTGAAGGACACACGCAAAAAGGGTGTATTGCTGCTTAAGCTCTCAGCGAGAAAAGATTCATCAGGATCGAAGGCGTACAATCTGTTAAAGTAAAAGCAAATTCTCTGTTACCTACCGGCCAGAGCATGTTGATACTTCCGGTGGTAATTGCAGACATTCTGATTGCTAAGTTTTTTGCCGAATCCGTCAGTTACAAAATGTCGCACTTCACACCACAGCATTCAGAAATTTTGCACAGCTTCCCAGGTGCCCATCTCCCCTTCGATTGGCAGTCATTTTACGTGCAGTCGCTTGAGTGAAATGTTTGCCACCCTAAGAGTGTAGACGATATGGTTCTGTCTCCTCTGGCGAAACCGGACTGGGTAACTCGTTCTTTGTGAATTTTTGCCGCCAGAAATTGGCTCAATATGATATCTGATGCTGATTACTAGAATCTCGCTTGAATTGTGGGACACCTGCGCGTTAGTGGCACTGCCACTCAGCTCGAAACAGAATACCTGTTTTTGCCCACCACGCACATGAATGCCACATTGCCGTCCTTTACGTTCCTGATCTTCGATTCTCCCGAAATGCTGTGAAGGATGAAATACGGTCAATCTTCAATATCTCCGCGAACATCCTGACATCAAATTCACACCTCAGCTATTCTTGCTGGTGTAACATTAAAAACTGAGAAAACTGATGATTTAAGCAGATCCAAAGAAAAGCTGAGAGAAGTGCAGTGCTTCCTATTTTGAACATGCATACAGGATCCAGACTATCGCCCAAACTCCTCGGGTTAGGGTTGTTCTTATCGTCCAGCAGCTTCTGTTCACCTGAAAGGCGCAGGCAAAACAGGGTATAGGACTGCTCTCTAAGTCCTCCACGCATGGCAGTAATCTTGCCATCGCGAGAACTCAACTAAAAAGGTGTCAAGAAGTGGCTTGAACAAGTTGCTAGACACAGCGTGACCCACCGTCTGAGGATGGTTATTCCACATACCCACTACCTGAAATGAGATAAAATTCTGCCTAATAAAAGTATGCAGCCTGGGCTTGAAGATCTTCTTATTATGTCTCCGCTGCATAAAACAGCCTGCTATCGGCACATAGCTGAAGCAATCGTTCCCCATTTTCCTGTCCTCCAACAACAAGCCGGCCACAAACTCACATCGACCACATCGCCATCAGTTACCGATGGCGCGGATCCATTACTGATTGTCGGTCGTTTTGAAACACATTTGTGGACTCTGACCACGCGCTCGTCCGGAGTCGCTTCAACCTACTTTTCCCGGGGTCGCGTGAAGTGCGGACAAATCGCATGGCAACTGAAAGACTGGCCGATCCGGATGTCAGATGAACTTACAAGAGTCGTCTTCTAGAGTCTCTTCCAAATGCTCCACCATCGGATGTGAACTCATACTGGGACGAGATTGCCGCCTCTTTGCATAGTGCTGGGAATTTCGCCTGTGGCACGACTCAACCAGGCACACCCAAGCACTGGATATCAGACCGAACGGTGGCACTACTTAAATCTCG